AGATGTAACAGTATGTGGGGAATTCTGGGAGTTGAAGTCCACACGTTACCTGGGAAACAGTGGTTTAGACTCTTTCTGAAGGGAGAGGCAATCAAGAACGGGTGCTATTAAATATGTTTTGTGTTGTGCATTTTATATGTTGTATTCTGACATGGCCAAATGGATAAGCAATAAATTAATTGTTATTAAATATGTTTGTGTGTATGTATAACTCCTGGTATTAAAAATGCCAGTCAAAACATCCAGTATGGTTCATTGATTAGATGGATGGATGGTTTGGAATATTTCTGTGCCGTTTTCCGTCAGGTCAAATCTCAACTTGGCTTGCAGCAGGGGATAAATTTTATCCGATCCAATCAGATCCAGTCAATGAAACAAGGGAGAACGGATAAATTAAAAAGGTAGAGGACAAGGAAAACAAAACAATTTGTCCCTAACTTTTACCCAGAGAAAGACCAAAAGGGTAGAAACTCTGCATTTGTTTCTGGGGTGTCTGCGGCAGAGGTCAAAAAGGTCAAGATGACGGCTGCAGCCATGCACCCGAAGCCCTGCCCTTTTTAAAAGGCCTTGTGGGGCGCTTAAAAAGGGGGCAATGGTGTGCTCGCACCTGCCATTTTTACTTCCATCATCCCATCTGGATGCCCTCCTCTGTTTCTTTTAAAAGAACAGATTTGGGGGGCTCCATTCGGCCGCCACTTCCCAGGGACAGATTTCTCTCCAGCTATCTGGGCTCAGCTCTCTCCTCTTCTCTCCTTCAGCCTCCGCCAACCCCGATGAAATTGCCACCCTGGACTTCCTGGACGAAGTCACGGCCGTGGTCTGCAGTACCAAAGGGCAGCTGTTCCTTGCAGACTTCAGGCAACCCCAGGGCCTTCTGGGAGCTCTCGAGGCTCAGACCCCTCGGGCACGGGCAGAGGGGCTAAGCTGGTGTGCAGGAGTTGGCCCTGGAGAGAAGCCCATAGTTGCCCGCCTCTCATCGGGAGGCCTTGTTGTGCTGACGGACCTCAGACGCTCCTCCGACCCCCTGAAAATGGCCCAGTGCTGCATGCCGACCCCTGCTTTCAGTGGGGCAGGCTTCCTGTCGATCAGCTTGGCTCCTGGACTGGGGGACTGCCTGGCAGTGTCAGGTAAGTTGAAGTGGTGCCCAGGGTTGCTATTGCCACTCGCAGCTCTTGCTGCCATCCGCCTTGCGGGCAGAGGTGTTGGCGGGGGTGTGGGGGGTGTACAAAGGGGAGGCCACCCCAAGGAGCAAGTGAAATGAAAAACAGCCTCGATTCGCAGACGGGCTCAGCGGAGTCCAGTTGGCTGAGGGTCGCAACAGGGTTGGGCAAATGGGAGGGTGAACGTAGAGCCTACGTTCGTGAGGCAGAGGCGGCCGCATTCCTGCCCTCGCTTGGAGCAAAACCACATTTTTGGGGAATATGCTGGTGGAGTCGGTCTCTTTCCTGCCTGAAATTCATTTATATATTTGGCAACGTTTATAACCTGCCCCAATAGAAGAAACTGGTGTTTCTCAAGCTTGGCCACTTTAAGAAGTGTGGACTTCCACTCCCAGAATTCCCCAGCCAGTCCATGCTGGCTGGGGAATTCTGGGAGTTGAAGTCCATACCTCTTAAGAGTTGAAAAACACTGATTTAGAGAAACTTAATCTAACCCTCACTCTTGTTTGTCTAAATATTTTCTTCTGTTGGGGCAGGTTATAAAAGAGCCCTCTTTACTTTTTTCTTTAACATACTGTCCAAAACTCATACCAATACGGAGACTAAACTGGGAGTCTTAGAGGCTGTTAATGCATCGGGACCAAATTGTGCGAATTCAGAAAGGTGTTGCAATGGAATCAATTGCTGTTTGACAATTTGGGGCAATTGAAACTTCTCTTCCAATAGCTCAGGTAGTTTAGATCAGTTATAACCTGGTCAGCCTGGCCACGATCTCCAAACACTTTAAAAGGTTTCCCTGCATTTTTCAACCTGGGTTCCCCTCCAAGTGCAGGCTGACATGCAGGTAATGGTCAGAATTATGCTTCCGTCCCAACATCTTCCAAATACGCCCTTAATTCAAGAAAGTAATAAAATGATGGCTAAAAATGGAGCCAAGCCCAGGTACATTTCCTTTTTGCAACCCCCACCCTGTGAGGTAGGCCGACCTGAGCCTGTTCTTAGCCTCCAGAAAATTAGGCCCTAAGTTGCATCTCATGGATGGGCTGGGGGTGGAGAGCTCCCAGGTAGGTGGTCTTTGCTTTTGAACGGAAGTGGCCATTGGCTGAGCACGTGTTTGCTCTTCCTTTGTGCCCCCTCCCCAGACGGAGGAAACGGAGAAGTTGCTGTTCAGCAGTTCTGGACAGGAGGGACTCTGAAGGCCTGATTTGGCCCTGGGCTGAAGGTTGCCCACCCCTAACTTTGTGCAATACGAGAAACACACCAAGTTGGTAGAAAATAAGGAAACGCACTGATTCCTTATAAGCTTTTGGTTTTACTGTCAAACAGCTGTTCCCATTATTTATTAGATTAGATTTATTAGATTGTTATATCCCACCTCTTGTACAGGAGCTCAAGGGAAGATATGTAATGCTCCATTCTCCTACTTTTCCCCACAGCCCTGGGGCCTGGGACTTTGGGTACAATAAAGAGCATGTTTTCACACTGTTCTTTCGCTAATGAGCCACTCCCACCTCGCCGTCTCCCCCTGCACCCTCCCTGTGAAGCATTTACTGGCATTTCTCGCTTCTTCAAGGTTTTGACGGGACCGTTCAGGTCTACAGTACGCACGGCTGGGACTCCTCAGGGCAGGAAGCGAAGCCGGTGTTCATTCACAAAGGGCACGTCTTCGGCACCCCTGGCAAGGATGGGGGCAGTCCGATGGTCACCACCCACAGTTGGCATCCTTGGAAGCCCCAGGCATTGCTCTCGGCTGGAAGCGACGGGTCGCTGCATGTGTGGGACTGGTCTGACCCTCGAGCAAGCGAGCCGTCTGATCTCACGCCCTCTGTCCCCCCTCCCTCGGGGAGCGTCCCCTGAAGTCCCCTGCCATCCCGCCCCTCCACAGCACAGCCTGGGAAAGGAGTCCCTAGATGTAACAGTATGTGGGAATGACCCTGGGAGACAGGAGGAAGAGCCGCAGACTAGGCAACGGTCAGCTAAGTGGCAGCTGAGCGCGCAGAAGGAATGGGGGCATGGCAAGCGTCTCAGAAGGGACCCTCCCCAGTTTCTTGGCCTGGAAAGGAAAGGGGAGGGGAGAGATGTTCTTTCAGACTTGCAGGATTGTTAATGGAACCCTACCATAAAGGTTGAGCTAGTACTTCTGGGTGGACTCCTTGTCTGGACTACCTCACAAGGCTGGCATCAATCTTGCAAGTCTGAAAGAACATCTCTCCCCGCCACTTGCCTTTAACAGGCCAAGACCCTGGGGAGGCTCCCTTCTGAGACCTTTGCCTCGTCCCCGTTCCTTCTGCGGACTCAGCGGCCTCTTACCTGATTTAGTCTGCGGTCCTGCACCACAGGACCAGTGCTGCCTTCTCCCCCCACTCTGACCCCAGTCCATTCAAGAGCAATAGCAAATTTTGCGAAGCGGTTAGCCCAGATCCATGGCTGCTGCTTGTCTCACAACCTGGGGGTGTCCAGGAGCATTGCACGTGTCAGAAAATGTCCGGATGGTGTCACAACTGGGTGACCAAAGCCTGGTGGTTTTAATGCCCTGGTCCTTGTAAAAGGGGTGTGAGGTGGGTCCAGAGTGATAAGCTGCTTCTCGCTCTGATCTTTGGAGGTGCTGACTTCTCCTCCACTATGATTTTGCTGTGACTTTTTTTTAAACTCTGGGTTTTGCTAATCTGCCCTTCCAAGTTGTTTCTTCCAGATCATGAGAGCTTTTATGTTCCACGCTAGGAGGGGTTGGTATTACGTGTCTTCAATTCCTCGCCTACTGTCTTGCGCTCTTGCCCAACTTTTGGAAAACAACAAAAGAGGCGACGTTTTCATAAAGTTGCACGGCCTTGTCTCGCCTTGTGTCTTGCATGCTCCTTGTAACTTGCAGGTCTTTGCTGACACCCTAAGCTGGCTCATGTGCACAAGCGACATGATACCTTCACAGTCCCAGGACAAAATCAGAGGCCGGATGAAGGCCGAGGTCCCAACAAAAGGATCCGTTTCTGCAGGGGCATCCACGGGGGATCAAAAAAGTCAAGTTCTTGAGGTTTTTTGACACCCGCCCCCCCTGCATTTCTGCCACTTGGTCCACCTCTTTTCACCCTGGAACTCTGCTTGGGTTTCTACCCCTTGGCTGGGTTCACACCTGCCGCGCAACCCGGGCAAGGGAAGAGCCCTCGTTGTATTCACGCTGCGCGCAAACCTCAACGGGTGCGAACCTTGGTTGCTTTTTGGTGGCCTTTGGTTGCATGTCACCAGGGTTCAGTGTCTGGTGCAAACTCAGAAAAATGGGTTAATTCAGAAAGAAAATTAAGCCTGTTGTGTGAAACCCAGGCACCTGTTCTTTAATGGCGTTTCATTTCCATAAAGGGCTCAGTTCTCATGCATTCAGGATGCTGTGGGAATGCATTCAAGAAATGTGACATTGCAATATATAAATTTAATGGAAGGAAGGAAGGAAGGAAGGAAGGAAGGAAGGAAGGAAGGAAGGAAGGAAGGAGAGAATGAGAGGGAGGGAGGGAGGGAAAGCACATTGAGAACAACAGAGCCTAAATTTTGTTGGGTCCTTCTTGTCTGTCAAACCAAGATATAAACAGCCACACCTTCGCATATGAATGGAATGACAGCAAGAGAATAAACCCCACATTTAAATATTTCCATTAGAAATCATCCCTTCCATGCTGCGGCTTCCCTTGGGATCTTCTCCCACTGGTGTGCTGAAAGACGCACGTCCAGTTTGGTGGTATTGGAGCTCCAGAGTCGCTGGGAGTCGGGTGGTGCATAAATTTAATACATCATCATCACCATCGTCCTAATCCAGAAGCGTTGACTCTGGAGAAGTGGATCCCGTCAAATACAACATAACTGGGTATCCACAGAACAGGCATCCCCCCCACCAACTGGGCCCCTTTGGGGGCCAGGAGCGGGGTCCAATTGGGTGTCAGTGTCATCCCTTAATTCCCACCCCCAAGAAAAGATGCCACCATCTGGTTCTTCCTAGTCAACAGTGTTGGCATTGCTTCTTCCTTATTGTTGACCTAGAGCAGCAATGAAATGATTGATTGTGGGCACATCTATTCATCTGTCATTTTAGGACAGTGTTTCTCAACCTCGGCCGCTTGAAGATGGGTGGACTTCAACTCCCAGAATTCCCCAGCCAGCATGGCTGGCT